CGCCCCTGTTCACAGAGGGCTAGGCTGTGGCCAATGTTCTGTGGTTACAAATACAACTGTAGTGAATTTATAACTGTGTCCCTGGGCTCATGAGTGAGAGCTCAACACCTAGTTGTACAATTGCTGTGTGAAAGGCAAATGCATCTCCCTAGTGTCAAACTGCTCTCCTACCCAGGAACAGAGTCTCATGCCCACCGTTATCCCACATCCTTGGTGCTGTCAGACATATTAATTTTTGGCAATCTCATGGGGAGAGGGTGGGTGGAGAAGCTGCTGTCTCACTACAGATGACCAAACTGAAGCCCAGAGAGGGCAAGGGGCTTTCCCAAAGTCACACAGCTAAGGCGCAGTATTAGGTTTCAGACCCACACAGGTCTACCTTGTCCTAAATGGAGACCTCTTTCCCTTGGGGTGCAAATTTGCCGAGTCTTCACTCCTTCCCTGGTGAGTTTTTATTCAACCTTTAGGATTTTATTCAAAGCCCCTCCCTTTTCCCCCTCAATGAAGTCATGCTTTGCTTTATGCTTCCTGGGTTCTTCAGAGCTAACTCTGTCATATGCTCCTTCCCTGTCTCTATGGCTAGAGTGGCTAAGAGTGTAAATGATGGAGTATGAAGCCAAGCTCTGCCCTTTGCTGTACTGGCCTCTCTGCACCTCAGTTTCCTTATCTGTAAAACGGTGTTAAGGATAGTGCTCCTCTCATAAGGTTCCGTGGGGAGGAAGTGAATTAAACCATGTGACACATGTAGATGGTGCCTGGCACATGGAGAGCATTTGATGAATATTAGCTATTACTGTTTTTATTATCATCCAACCTCTACATTTAATCCTGCATTCGATCTTGGGTCCTCTCCCCTCTGCACGGCCTCATGCAGCCATAACATACGGCAACAGCCGAAATCCATGAGTCATCCCACCTTCCGAGCTGGGTGTGGGAGGTCCACTAGGCACGGCTGTCCGTCTGCATAGCCTCATCCATCCCCACAGCTTCAAATTCCATCTGTCGACTTACAGCTTCAGCCCAGGCACGCCTCAGAGCTCCAGGATTGCGTATCTGGTGTGTCCACTTGAGTGTGTCCAATGCGTCCCCAGTGGATCTCTATTCCCACTGTGGTCCTCTGCATCCACCCGCAGTGTCCCCAGATCCAGTGGAAGGTGGGTTCCCATCCCCTACCTTCCTCTTCTCACACCCTATCTGACCCATCACTCAAATACCTCAGCTCAAAACTCCCACAATACAGCTTACATACATCCACTTCTCCCTCAGTCTCCACCACCACCCCAGTCAAGACCACTGTCACCTCGCCATAGACCTCCGGGTCTCCCGCCATGCACTCTAGCTTCTCCATCCATTTCTCATCTGGCATCCTCAGTGACTGCTTTGAAAATACACATGTGATCATGTCCTTCCAAACTTAAAATTCTCCACCACTGCGTGCAGAACAAAACTCAAATTCTAGCCTCCTCTCCTATCACTCTCCCCCTGCCCGGCGCACTCTGCTCCAGCCATGCTGATGTCCTTGCCCTTCTCTTAAGGTCATCACTTACAGGGCACTTTCTCAGTAAGGAATATCTTGCCCATCCTACTCTAAATTGTAAATCTCAGCCTCCCTTTCCCTTGCTCATCACTGCTACGTTCCCAGGGGTTAGTATTCGTGCCTGACACACAGTGGGCATTTAACAGAAAGTTAATGTCCGTGTCTCCAAATTCTGAGAAGCCTCAAGAAATGTTACTTCAGTGAACTAGGAAGTGAAAATCCAAGCTTTGTGAGCTTCAGCTAGACTTTGTCTAGCTTCGGCTGTATGCCGTCTCCAGACTCACACTGTGGTTTCTCATTCATTCATTCAACCAATCATTCGACAAACATTTAAGTTCCTGAGTCTCTACAACATAGATTCTGTGGTAGATAGAATAACGCTCCCCCAGAGATGTCCATGCCCTAATCCCCAGAACCTGTGAATATGTTACCTAATGTGGCAAAAGGGATACTGCAGAATGTGATTAAAGGTCCAGACCTTGAGATGAAGAGATTGTCCTGCATCAGTCCAAGGAGACCCAATCCAATTGGGACATCTCCTTAAAATCAGGACAGAGAAAGATCTGAAGGCAGTTCGGAGAGATGCAACATTGCTGGCTCTGAAGATGGAAGAAGGGGCCAAGAGCCAAGGAATGTGGGCGCCTCTAGAGGCTGGAAAAGGTACAGCAATGGATTCTCCCTAGAGCCTCCGGAAGGAACACATCCCTGCTGACACCTCGGCTTTAGGCCCTAGGAGACCCCTGTTGAACTTCTGACCTACAGAACTGCAAAATAAGTTTGTGTTGTTTTAAGCCACTAAATGTGTGGTTCTGTGTCAGGGTAGCAATACAAACGGACAGTTAAACACACGACAGAACTAAAAGTCCAGTGGAGATGACAATGGCCCAAACTGGCAGTGCAATTTTCTCAACGTCAGCTTTTTTGCTCCTCTGAGAAATCCCTTCCTCCTGGTGTCGGCTGCTGGGGATAATACCACTTCCTCTGTGAGGCTTTTCCCGATTGCTCTGCTAGACAGAACAACTCCTTCCCCGGGATTGTTCATTTACGGTAAATAAATCTAACAACCAACGTTCTGTGGTTTTAAACTATTTCACACACATTTTGCTCGTTGGTTTGCGACCGGAGGTCACCTAGTTCTCATCTTGGTGGAGCCACAACCGGAACCCAGGTGGACTCATGTTTTTCGAGGTCACCTTGCAGTGAGGACAGGAATCCACATCTATGCTTGCTCCCACTCCCCAGCTGGCCTCACTGTGAAGACGGTACACGTGACTACCCCGAGCCTCCCCCTGCAAAGTTCGCACTTGTCGGTGCTCAAGCAATGCCTTCTCACCCCGCACCGCCCCCCACCCCCTCCGAGGGAAGGGACTCCCCGCCCAGCGTGTGACCGTCTCCACCGCGAGGGGGCGCAATGGGACAGGCAGGGGTCCCGCTCCGGGTTGCAGAGAACAAGAGCTCTAGAACCCTGGCCACAATGCACCGAGGTGCAGCACCTCTAAAACTGGGCTGGACGGGCCCTGGCTCACAACTCGGGTTCCCCACCCTACAGCGCGGCGGCCCCTCGGCCTGCTCCTCCCCTCCCTCTCTCGCTCGCATCAGAAGCCCAGCCTCGCAGACAGGCGACCGCTCTAGAAGCCCCCGACGCGCCTCACCCGGCTTTTATTACCGCGGGCGGGGGCTGACCGGCCAATCAGGAGGCGCAGAGCGCCTGTGACGTCACACGGCGTGAGACCGCCGGAGCCGGGCTCTCTCGCCAAGGGCCGCGGAGTGCGCGTGCGTGCTGCGCGCCACAAAAAGGCGGGAAAGGGGGCGAGGGGAGGGGCGGTCCTGAGGGGACGAGTCTCGCAGAAGAGGGGCAGAGGAGCGCGGGGGCACAGGCAGAAGTGGGGCCTTCAGGAGATGGGAGGGCACACGGAGAAGCAGAGGGCGAGAGCAGCCCGAGGCGCAGCGGGTGCGGCAGGCTGGACTGGGCGGCAAAGGTGGGGCTGGGGCAGGAGGAGACAGCCGTGAGGAGAAGGCGAAGAAGCCACCGTGCGAGGCAAGGAGCACGAGGGTGACAGGGAGCGCGGGGTGGGGGTGGGGGGTGTCAGATGGGGAAAGTAGTGACCCGGCCTGAGAAACAGCGGAACCCGAAGAGGAGGCGGAGGCGTAGAGTGTGGAAAACAGGCAGGCTGGGAACGTGCACTGGATGCGA